ACCAGGATTATGAAAGACGTCTCCTACGCCAGATCAACATACAGAATGAAAACACGATGCCTTGCGTAAGTACCAGTGGGCGATGCTGAGCGGTCTCAGGCTGACGGTGAAGTTCTCGTCTCTCTTGCCTGTGGTTGTTTGCACTTGAGCTTTTGAAAAATACGGGACCTCTCTGAAGCAAACCTCAGTCTTTTGTTGGGCTGTGAGCAGGTGTGAGTTCCTGAGCTGTTCTAGGAGTGACTTGACTTCAGCAAAGCTTTTGAATATATCAACTCAGTTCAGGTTGCAAAAAGGAGTTAAAGATCTGTTTGCGTAGCTCAGTAATGCCTTTTGACTCTTAGTGAGTACATGTGGAACGTAAGAAGTTGGGGGCTGACAAACCAACCAACTCTAGGGCTTGACAAGATAGAGCAAGTCCACTGGAGGCCACCAAGAGGGTTGGGGGGCTGGAGCAGGAAGATGCTGTGTTGCTCAGCCTGAAGACAGTGAGGCTCCGGAGGGATGAAATTGTTGCTTTCAACTGCCTGGTGGGTGGTTATGGAGAAAACGGGGTCAGATTCTCTTGAGGCGCACAGTGGAAGGATTAGAGGCGACGGATGCGAGCTGCAACAGGGGGAATTCCAGTTAGATATTAGGAAAAAATGTTCACAGTGAGGGCGTCCAAACACTGCAACAGGGAGCTGGTGGGGTCGTTGTCCTTGGAGATGCTGAGAACTCAACTGGATGAGGCTGTGACCTTCAATGTAACTTTGAAATCAGCCCTGTTCTGAGCTGGGGTCCTTTCCAGCAGAATTTACTCTATGAAAAAGTATGTGACTGCAGTTGGGAAATCTGCTGCTCCCCCTGCAAGCAGTCTGCCCCTCTCCAGCCCGCCACGTGTTTGCCTCGACAGCGTCAGCTTGAGAAGGAGCGGTGAGAAAGAGGCTGTTTAATGGTTTCTCTTGACAGAAGTTCCCGTGGCAGTCGGACTCTGATGTGCTTACTAGTTCTGTTAAGGGGATAAACTAGTGCTTGGCTCTTCTGCTTAGACATGTTCAGCTTTGCCGAGACCTCGGTGATGTTTTTCAGACCACTGCTGTGCTCAGCACTTGTGTGTTCTTGTGTGTGTCTTGTTCTGTAATTCAGGTAGCAGAGATGAGAAGAACCCTGACACCTTCCAATTCTCCGATGTCTTCTCCTAGTAAGCACGGTGACAGATTCATTCCCTCAAGAGCTGGGGCCAACTGGAGCATCAACTTCCACAGAATAAATGTAAGTTTTGCTCCCCTCTCCTACACCTCTGTCTCGGAACTGAGGAAATGGCGCGTTTTGTTTTGGCTGGCATAACTGCTCTGCTTATCTTCTGCACCGTGGTTTTCTGCTGCCCCAGAGGAGTTCATCTGAACGCATGCCTTCAGACAGGCTGCCCCTGCGGTCCGGGAGACTTCTTTGTCCGTTATTTTACCATCTGTGGTGAGGTTTCTGTGTGGTGATAGCGTGTTTTTCCCTTTCAGGAAAATGAAAAATCGCCAAGTCAAAACAGAAAAGCAAAGGACGCGACATCGGACAATGGCAAAGGTGAGACCGCCTCTCTGCCACTCGTGCCCCGCCTAGAGCTTTTATTTCAGGCTGTCGGCGAGTTTGGGAATCAAGGGAACGCTGGCACTTTCGTGCTCATGCCAAAACTCGTGCTGGTCTTTCAGGAGATAAATGCCCACATCACGAGAGTGAATACCAGGTCACCTGAACAGGCTTCTGACAAGCGTCTGGGAAGCGAGAGGCTATTGTATCCCTTGATTTATGGTGCCATGGAAGCCCTTTCCTTATGGGGTGGAAGGAGGGGAAGCTTGCTGCTAACCTTGATTCCAGACTGGAGCCCCGGGCTTATTGAGAGCCGCTGCGCGTGTGCAAGCCGGGCAGACCCGATCCTGCCACCCCCTGCAGAGCTTCCAGGTTCTCTGCCTGAGCGCTGGTTTGGGTTCACAGATGGCCTCGCTTACTCTGCCTTGCTGAAGAACGAACTCCTGGGAGCAGGGATCGAGAAAGTGCAAGACCCACAGACGGAAGACAGGAGGCTGCAGCCGTCCACCCCGGAGAAGAAGTCTCTCTTCACTGTGAGTTGGTTACTTTGCGTTCAGACCGGTGGAGGCGGCACGTGTGTGTCGCAGCAACAGTTCTGCCAAGCTGCTGGTGCAAGTGAGTTAGTGCTGTGGCTTGGCTGAGATAAGCTGTTGCTAACAGAATTTGGTGGCCTGTAAAGGGGACGTCACTATCTGCAGCAAGCTACGTACTTCTTGTTTCTGTACTGGCAGGGAAACGGAGTTGGAACCAGGTGTTTCGCAATAGTGTGGTAAATGACCAAATCGAGCTTTGGGGCTTGGTGGAGGTGCAGGTTTTTTGGTATGGTTCCAGAGCACCTGGGAAAGGGAGGAACTGAAAAGTCTGGGAAATCTGGAGTTAGCCAGGCATTGGGACCAGTGCGTGTTGCCAGCCATCCCCTAGGTCCTGGGCCCACTGGGGTTCTTACTGGGTGTGTTTCCTTCACGCAGTATTCGCTCAGCACGAAGCGCTCTAGTCCGGATGATGGCAACGAGGTCTCGCCATATTCCCTGTCTCCCGTCAGCAACAAAAGGTAATTCTGGTTCTCCACAGGCGGCGAGGAGGGAAGGGTTGGGACAGAGGATTCCGTGAGGCTCCCTAGGGCTCTCAGGCACCCAGCGTTGCTCTGTGAATTGGTTTTGGTGATCTGGGCCTGGTCAAGTTCTAAAGAGTTTCAGCAGGTGCCCACCTGCCTGGATACCGCATAGGTCTTGGCTGGCTTTCAGCAGTCTCCTTTTGTTCTCCAGCTCCTTTGTAGAAGCAGAACCTAATTCCTTCCAGGCTTACCTGCTGGAGAGAATTTTGTGGCCTCTTTGTGCATTTCTGTAGCAATGCAGGTGCGCTTCAAAGAGAGGCCATGTCTGCGTCTGCCATCCGCTGCGATGCGGAAGGTCCTGTAGTTGGTTTTGTGTCTCTCTTTGTAAACAGTCAGAAGCTGCTAAGATCGCCTCGAAAACCAACGCGGAAAATCTCAAAGATTCCTTTCAAAGTGCTGGATGCCCCGGAGCTGCAGGACGACTTCTACCTGAACCTGGTGGACTGGTCCTCTCTCAACGTCCTCAGCGTCGGCCTCGGGACTTGTGTTTACCTCTGGAGCGCTTGCACTAGCCAGGTAAATGGTCGGCGGCGTCTGGAGAGCGATGTGCCCGTTGCTGTAGGGCTCTGCCAGCTGGAGCATCTTCCAGAGCTCTGGAATGTGCCGTGCCAGGGGTTCAGCACTTGTAGTGCCCTGTCCCAGACCGCTTTGTGAGGCAGCTGATGGTGTCGTAGGACAATCACGAGTGTTTCTTCTTCTGTTCTGTCCTGCTTTCAAGGTGACCCGCCTGTGTGATCTCTCTGTGGAAGGAGATTCGGTGACATCTGTGGGCTGGTCAGAACGGGTCAGTATAACGTGGTCAACGGGGAGAGCTGAAACACTTGGTGATTTAGACGCTGTCGCTGTAGCTCTATAGCTCTTCCTCACGGGTCTGACCTTCTGGGGTTATTTTCCTGTGTTTCCCTGAACTCCCTGTGTGCATCACAAATCAAACGTGTTTTCCTGGCTGCGCTGTTTTTCTCTGCTAAATGAGAGGGAATAGAGGGCAACCTCCTGAATCTTGAGGTTCCCAAGGCATTTGCTAAGAGGTGTGGGAGGGAGGAGGAGCCAGTTGGCTTCTCCAGCTCTTGACAATGAAATGTTACAATAAATATATTCCAGCCAGGCTGCTTGGCCCTCTCAGTAGGGAAAAGAGGCACGGTGGAAGAGGTCTGGATGCTTTCTGTCTTGGGGGATTTATCTCCAGTCTTTTCCTCAGCTTCTAACTTTTCGTTTAGGTCTGACTTTACTTACTGGCTTTCCTGATCGTGGTTTTCTGTTTGTCTAGGGGAACTTGGTAGCTGTTGGCACTCACAAGGGCTTTGTACAGATCTGGGATGCAGCTGCAGGAAAAAAGCTCTCCATGCTAGAGGGGCACACAGCCAGAGTCGGTAAGGAGGTGGGAGGCAGAGGTTTCACTTGTTCACTTGTTCCGTTTCTTCGTGATGGCACTTTTTCCTTGAAGCAAGGGATCTGCTTGAAATAGCAGAACTCCAAAAGCACCAGAATTGATATTTACCCTCTGCCGTGTCTGGAGCGGTCTTCAAAATATTCTCACCTAGTAATTGTGGTGGTCCGGTCTCGGGTGTGGTGGTGTTTGAGTGTTGCAGCAGGTGTTTCCTCCATGTCTGAGGCATTTTAGGTCTGGTTACAACATTTTTTTCCGCTGCCACTGGCTTCCTGTTTCAGCCCTGCAGGCAGGCTGCGTTACTCTGAGATTTCCAGTTCCCTTATTCTGCGGGCACTGTCTTTTTTTTTTTTTTTTTTTTTTTTCTTTTTTTTTTTTTCCCCTCAGAGGTGTTGTGAATCTGAATACTGGAGTGAGATTTGGAAGTCAAGGCACCTTCCAACTTCTCTATCCGTGCTTTACCGCCCTGTGAAATGGGATTAGTGACGCTGTCAGTGAGGCTGTGCGGGTTAATCTTCCTTTGTACGCTCTTCTGGCACTTCAGACAGTAGATACAAAGGAGGTCCATTAGCACGGATTTTTTTATTATTATTTTCTTTTAAACCTCGGCAACCGTGGTGGCTGTGTTCTGCCTGCCTGCTCCCCCAGGACTCCCACAACGTTCTCCTCCGCTCTGCCCGCGTTGCAGGTGCCTTGGCGTGGAACGCGGACCAGCTCTCATCTGGGAGCCGAGACAGGATGATCCTTCAGAGGGACATCCGCACCCCGCCCCTGCAGTCCGAGCGGCGGCTCCAGGGCCACAGGCAGGAGGTCTGTGGGCTCAAATGGTCCACGGACCACCAGCTCCTGGCCTCTGGAGGAAACGATAACAAGGTACGGTGCTCCAGGGAGTCGCGGGAGGCTCGATGGCTCTAGATCTTCACCAAGAGGTGTCAGACCCCCTTTCTTTAAGGATATTCAGCCTCCCTGAAAGGGGCTTTTGTTCCAGTTGTTGGACTGTGTCCAGACGTAAACCACGCTAAGCTTCTACTCAGTCTCCTCTCTCTAATAAAATTAAAAAAGCAAATTTAATTTTGCTTCTGTATTTGGCTGATTAAATCTATAGCTGGACTCAGGGGTTTGAGGTGAACAAAGCTGCTGCTAAGCCGTGCTTCCTGACTCTGTTTAGGTAGTCGGGTTTGTTGCAATAATGTTTATACACGCAGAAGGAAACTTGAGTTTAGAGCTCTAGAAGTTCGAGTACCTGTAACGCAGGCTTGTGGCTCACTGAGCACCATATGGAAGGAGCATCTGTTGCGGAGAGGTGGTGTTCAGAGCCCTTTGGAGCGGGTTGCTAGGGAGTGAATTTGCCCGATGCCTGTGTGGCAGCGTGGTTGTACCGAGTTCCTCCTGCTCAGAGTCACTTCTGATGAACTCGAGCGTGTTTCTAAATGTGTTCTGGGATGATACAGCCCTAGAGACGAAAGAAGGGCTTGAGTTCGCGTTCCGTGGCCCTGTGTCTTTGGCTTCATAAGCCTGTCTCCAGGGCTGTCAGCTCCGATGGCTCCTCCGTTGAGGGTGGTGGCACTCGGGGCTTCAAGCGCGCCGTGGAGGTGCACGTGCTTGGGCAGAGCTGTGGGAAATCAGGTCGTTGCCCAACTGCCCTCCTCGGTCTCGGTGCAACGTTGTGGCTTGTGGGTGTTGCGGACGCGTGACTGCAAGTTTGGTCACGTCTCTCCTCTCCGCCAGCTCCTCGTCTGGAACCACTCCAGCCTGAGTCCTGTCCAGCAATACACGGAGCATCTCGCCGCGGTAAAAGCTATCGCCTGGTCCCCGCACCAGCACGGCCTCCTCGCCTCCGGCGGCGGCACCGCCGACCGCTGCATCCGCTTCTGGAACACGCTCACCGGGCAGCCCTTGCAGTGCATCGACACCGGGTCGCAGGTGTGCAACCTGGCCTGGTCCAAACACGCCAACGAGCTCGTAAGTGCCCCCCCCAGCCCCCCTCCCCCGGCGGTCCTGCTGCCGGGCTGCCTCGCGCTAGGACGCGTGACGCACGTCGCCCTCTCCCCTTGCAGGTCAGCACCCACTTCTGGAACACGCTCACCGGGCAGCCCTTGCAGTGCATCGACACCGGGTCGCAGGTGTGCAACCTGGCCTGGTCCAAACACGCCAACGAGCTCGTAAGTGCCCCCCCCAGCCCCCCTCCCCCGGCGGTCCTGCTGCCGGGCTGCCTCGCGCTAGGACGCGTGACGCACGTCGCCCTCTCCCCTTGCAGGTCAGCACCCACGGCTACTCGCAGAACCAGATCCTCGTCTGGAAATACCCCTCGCTCACTCAAGTAGCGAAGCTAACGGGACACTCGTACCGAGTCTTGTACCTGGTAAGCCACGGCCGTGCCTCTGGAAGCTTCCACGGCCGCTTCTCTGGCAGCGCGCGTGCTGAGATAAGGCCTGAAGCGGCGGTGCCGGCGGCACTAAGCTGCCCGGAGTCTCGGCGGAGATCTGAATGCTGCCCTGCGAGCGAGGAAAAACGCTCTGTGTCTGGTTTCCGTGCCTGCAAGGGGCACTTTGATTTGCTGCTATGGAAATGTGGGGCTTCGTTAATGAACAGCAAAGCCTGCCAGGGCTCTGCTGAGGCAGCGCAAGCGTCTCGTCTTGTTCCCTTAAGACTTGTCCGCTTTCTCCCTGGTGACTGCCGGCAGGGGAAGGGGTTGATGCTTTCAGTCCTCCCGGTTTTGTCATTAAAACGCTTGGTGCAGTTCATCCATGCTCAGCTCATCCCTGTTACTGTTACGTGGGGCTTTCATCAGATCCGTGACAGAGGTGACAAATAGGCTGATGCTGTTCTGTGAGGTAGATTCCGAGTGAGCGACTGATGGAGCTGGCAAACGCCGGTCGTGTCGCGCTTCCTGCCTTAACACGTGTTTGTCATCCGGGGGGGAACAGCCTCGATTACAAATGGCTTGGATTTCTTCACTCGAGAGCCCTTTGCGTGGTAATTCCACCCATGTGTCCCATAGCTTCAGAAGTAGGATGCAAATGCTTGAGTTGGCACCTACTGCAACTGCACGAGGCACATGAAAGCAGAGGTAGTTGTTTGGTTTCTCACCGCCAGCCAGGCAGGAAGGAGAGTTCGGTATCGCTCGTGCATTCCAATGCAGATTTGTTTTCAACCTCAGACCTGTACCAGATGCTAAAGGTTGCTCTCTCTTGGCCGCAGGCGATGTCCCCTGACGGGGAGGCCATAGTCACCGGAGCTGGAGACGAAACCTTGCGCTTCTGGAACGTCTTCAGCAAAACTCGCTCGACGAAGGTGAGGCCGCGTGGTGCGGGGGGCTGCAGGGGGGCTCAGCCTTTGGGGGTCAGTTCGGTCCAGGTCTGCTCCCTCCTGCTGCCTGGCCTCTGAGCTCTTCACCGTATCCTGCAGATCAGGGGCTGGATGCGGTGAAGGATTAACCTTTGCTGAGATACAACGGGACTTGTAGTTACCGGGTGAAACAAGAGGTTGCCCCTGGGTGCCCAGGGCGGTGTGGCGGAGCATCCTTCTGGCTGGCACGGGGCTGCTGAGCCCAGCGGCGGCTCAGGGAGCTCATCCCGAGCCAACTGTCTTCCCTGCTCACGTGCTGCTGGGGGGTGATGATCGGAGAGGGTTATCCCCAGCTCCCTAAGATGGTGGCTTGGGTGGGAATGGGACTGTGGATGCTGCCGCTGACAGCTCGCCGTCACCAAAAGCAGGTTGTGCCGGATGCTCCGAGAGCTTTTCTGGGTGTCTGGCAGAGAGATCGGAAGGAATGAGCTGCGGGGAGCTGGCGTGGCACGCTGCGGTGTCCCCCGGGTTTCTGCCGGCGGGACCGGGACGCGTGCCTGCCGTGCTCCTTGTTATCAGTTAGAAAAACCCATGGGAATATTTATGACGTTGGACTTTGAATGGGGAGCTCAGGTCAGGCCCTGAGCTAGAGATACCTCAGCAGATTAGCAGCTGTTTTACTAAAAAAACCCACAAAACAACAACAACAAAAAGCCAGCAAAAGCCGCAGCACGACTGCGGAGTACTCAGCGCTTTGTCTTTTCTTGTCAGGAGTCGGTATCTGTTCTCAACCTCTTCACCAGGATACGATAAACCCCCCCCGACTGCCACCCAGGAGACGACAGCCTGACATACCAGGATAAAACCACTACCTTGGTGTGCATGGAACCCCAAACGATCAGCCAGAAGGGAGGGAGCGCCCGTGGGACTGGAGGACGGACCCAACAGATGCTTATTAAATACGTGCTTGTGAACCACGCTGGGCAGTATTTGGGATGGGGATGGGGAGGGGAGGGAACTGCCAAAGGTTTACAGATTCATCCTTCACGAGGGGAAAAGGGTACAAGAGAAACGTTCAACCAGCATCCTCCGACCCTCGCGTTGCGTAACTGGAGAAGACCTGTGGGATGTGGACCACCGAGACCGGACCGAGGCCATCCCAGCTGCTGTGTTGTCCCCTCTTGGGAGAGATGAGTGTCCTTGCCTTTGTGGGAACGGCTTGAACGTGCTGCTCTGGGTCCCCCTGCCCTCGGATGGAGGTAGGAGCCAGCCAGGCTTGTGCAAGGGGGCCGGGCCAGGCTGGGCGTTGGCCGCTCTGGTTATCCACAGGCACTGTCTGTAGCCTGGCGTCCCCGTTCATGAAGAAACTGGAGAACTGTGTATTTCCCTTTTTTTTTTTTTTTTTTTTTTTAATTTCTAAATAGGTACTGTAGTACTGGATACAACCATTCCCGTTAGGCAGCTTGATTTCTTGGCATGCTTCACAGCTGCCTTCAAACAAGTAAATTTTGGGGCTCCAAACTTTGGAGGAGACTTGAAGAGGCTCCGCCTCGGCGGGAGCACGTTCAGAAAGTTCTGAAATTGCTCTTGCATGTTCTGGGCTGATCCTTTTAGTTACCAGAGAGGAAAAACAATGGCTTTAAAAAAAAAAAAAAAAAAAAAAGGAAAATCAAACCAACCGCCGTGCGTGTGGCGCTTCCCACAGCGCCTGGTGGCTCTGGAGTCTTCCTGAGGACAAAAGCAGTTGAGATGCGTTTGAGAACCGAAACAACTCGTGGGGCTGTGTTTCTGGAGAGAGCGTGGCCTCTTCTGGCTGGAAGGGGGGGACACACCACGGCTGGGTGAGAAGGGGGGACGCTGTTCCTAAAGCGAGGAAGAAGCGTTATGGTTTTGGGGTTGGTTTTTGTTTTTTCTCCGAGTCAAAGCCAGGGACCTGTTGTTGGTTTAGAGTTTTTTAGTTGGTTGGTTGGGTTTTTTTTTTAAGTTGTGTGGGGAGAGAGTGCCTGCTTGTGTGCCTGGAGCCCGTGTGAGGAGTGCCGTGGGCTGTGACGCGAAGCACTTGTGCGTGTGTGTTGCTTTTAATTTAAAGAGAAGCTGTGCCGCTCGCAGCAGCGTGTTCCTGTCTGACTTTGTCCGTGTGCCAACGCTCTCCCTGCCGTGCCCCTGCCTGCCTCCTGCCCTCTCCAGCGCACCGGCACGCGCGTGCTGGTCTCTGTCCTCCTTTGGATTTTCCTGGCTGTGTATATAGACCCGTTCTCTGTAGATTGCGTAGGCAATACTTTTCTTTTTTTCCCTTCTTTCCCTGAAACCAGACTGCAGGGCTCTCCCCAGTGCCACCGGTATCCTTAGGGTGAGCCTCTGAGGTGTAGGAAGGCTGGTACGGAGAAGGGCAGCGAGGTGCCGTTCTGCTCACTACAGCCTTGACCACGTGTGCCGTTACACCAGTGCCTGGCTCGGGCCCTCGGTGCCGCCGCTCCCACG